CCCCCCCCCCCCACCTCCCCACTCCCACCCTACGCAGACCAGGTCCCCAGGCCTGAGACCTCTGCGGGCCTTTTACTGCAGGGCTTCTCAGAGGGAGATGTGGAAACTTTCTACTTCTGACCTGCCTTTCTTTGCTCTCTGCCCCACCCTACCTCCAACAGAAACTCCCCTGGGGGTTTCTGGCCCTCAGGGTCCCTCCTGAATGGAGCCATTCCTGGCCAGGGTGGGGCTTGTTTTCATTCTTTGGGAGCAGCCGGTTGTTCCAAGGGCTGCCTCCCCCTCACCAGTGGTCCTAGTCGACCTCTCCCTTTTGGCTTCCCCAACCCAGCTCCATGCCCAGACCTCGCTGCCAGGATACTAGTCAGGTGGCCATGCCCTGAGCAGAAAAGCAGAACACCATGTGGTTTCCCGGAATTTCTGGACCCTGGTAGAGTGGTGGGAAGCCTTTGGATTTGGGGGAGGGGGGAGGGAATTGGTTCTCAGTGCTAACTCTTCCAGGCATCCTGCTAGGCACTTTATCCTTTGATTCTCTCAAAGCCTGATGGCATTATGTATCCCCATTTTACAGAAGAGGCAACCACTTTCAACAGAATTAACATGTGGGGTCTCTCTTGTCAGCCTTTCCCATCTTCCTGGGTTTGTTTTATCCTTCAGGAGGCTGCAACTTAATCTCCTCACACAGCCCCCCAAGGGTAAGTCTCAGGTTTGCTTTTCTTTCCCAGCAGAGGGTCCAAAAAGGGCCCCCATAGTTTGCCTGGCACATTGAAGGGATGGCAAAAATTCTTTTCTGAAGAGCCAATGGGAATTGATTTTGAGTTTAGGAATAGGTTTTACCATGTGGAATCGAGATGCCAAGTGTTTGAAGTAGCCACTAGTGTAGACCAGGGCCTCATTAATCCCTCTTACTCTTAATCCTGGAAAGGCAGCATGGGGGAGGGGTTGTTCCCTTGGGAGCGAGGAATGCCGTGCCCCTTTTAATCTCTGAGGACAACTCAGGAGCTGGAGCAGATAATGAACTCTCAACCTGGACCTTTTGAGGTTCATGCCACCAGTGCCGCCCAGGTCTGCCTGTTCCTTGTCTTGCTGTCTCAGTGCCTCTGGGGAACTGACTACCTTCTCTCTGCCCCAGTTCTGGTTTGCCCAGCTGGAGTCTGGGGGGTTACTGACTCACTTTAGCCCCTCCCACCTCCCCCAAATGAGAAGCCACATTCCTGGAGCCACTTCTGAAGAGATAGCATGCAGGGCTCTGTGCCCCACAGGAGGGACCACCCAGACCTTCTGCTCTCCCAGGTATCAGTCTGATCAATCACCACTGTTACTGGTCAGAAAACTGCTCCCACCATCAGCCCCCTTGCCTTATTACAGGGCATCTTGACCAGATGCCAGTCCCCTCCTTAGGCCTCAGTTTGCTCTGCTGCAGAGCATAGGGGTTGGACTTTCTGGGCTCCTGAACACAACCCTTGCCAGTTTCTGTGAAACAAATTAAGTCCTTGACCCCAAGTGTCTGGGGGAGTACAAAGTCCACAGGAGTTCTAGGGCTGTGGTTGCAGGAAAGTGACGCAACCAAATTCCACGGGGACATGATCAGGCGTGACAATGCACAAGGGAGGGACGAGGGAGCAGGGAATGAAGAATGTAATTTCTGTACCCTGTACATCCCTGCCTGACAGACTCAGAGTGAGCGGTCTTCTCCGCCAATGCCACTAGTGAAAGGGGTGAGATAAAATTATAGGTGTGTTCCCAAGTAAGAAAACGCCTCCAATTGGAATTTACAGAAGAGGTCAATTAAGGAGTGACTTTTGTCTGACATCTTTAAAGGATTTTTTTTTTAATAGAATTTCCCTTAATGTCCAACATTGATTTAATGGGTTTGATTTACACATTGTCTCTTGAAGAAAACAAGTGTATCTTTGTATTCTAAAGCAACCCATATTTAAAGGGAAAAATTATTCTTAACTCTGCCCGGCTTAGCAGTAACACTGGCAGCTGCCTTAGGTCCTCTAGGACTCTCTTTATCTGAAAAGTGAAGGACTCAGATCAGGTGAGTGATTCCTATAACTCCCCAAATCATGTGGCTTCTCAGACACACAAGCTCTTTTCCATTTTTTCCTAATCATGAAGGCTTTACCCTTAACTTCAGTATGACTGCATACATTACTTGAATCTACAGGTTTCCTGGCTTTTGGTTGGAACTGAATTAACACACTCTGGTAGCACTTACTTTTTGCTGATGAGAGGCTTATTATGTGTTCGGTTAATTTTTTTAAAACAGGAAAACAAGGTGTCCATAATAACAGTTTCATTGACAGCCTGTTTCAATCTACAAGGTCTGCAGGAAAGAGGAGTAATAAAGGGATTTTCAGTGGTAGGAGACTGGGTTCTGATGGGCCAGTGTCTCTAGGCCCCTGTTATATCTGCCCTCTGTGCCTGGGGAGAGTTGGCATCCCTGGTCACAGTACCCTCAAGCTGTGACAGAGAGACCTGCCCATTTTCCCCTTTTTAGCCCAGTCAGAGCTCAGAGGCAAGGGGCTGGAAGCAGCTTCTCCCCAACAGTCTGTCTGCTCATTCAGGAGGCTAAGGATGAGCATCCAACCAGGCCTTTACCAGGACATGGGAGGGCTTGTTCTTTAACCTTTGTAAATCCACTGTAATAGTGGCTACTTCAACCACGTAAGGTTGAAAACTTAACCTGTAAACATTTGGTCTGAAGAGTGTGCATGTGAATGAGGGCTGGGCCACTGTCTTAATATCACTTGGCTTTTCCCAGCACAACACCTTGCCTGTTTGGTCTTGCAGATCCTAGATGCACAGTAACTATTTCCCAGTTGATAGGAATTGATAATAATCAATTGGCTTCTAAGTGATTCGATAAGTAATTCATTTTAGGACCTTCTCTACTCACCGAAATCTGTTTGGTTCTGGGCCAAGATACAGATCCATATTGCTTAGGCATGGAGGGAGAGAAGTCTGCCTACTTTTGCCCTTAGTGTTCTCAAATTAAAGAGGGGAGGGAGGGAAGTGAACATTTACTGAGTACCTGCTCTGAGCCTGGGGTCATTCTAGGCATTTGTACGTAATTCTCATAAACTCATGAGGTTTTATCACCAATGCACAAATGAGGAAACTAAGGCCCAGAGTCATGAAATAACTGGCTTGAGGTGACACAGATAGTAAATGGCAAAGAAGAAATGTGGACCCAGGTCTTGAAAAGTTATTTGTGAGAATCTCAACCTGATTATCTCCTTTTTTTTTTTTTTTTTTTTTTAAACTGTGTTCCCTGCTAACTCAAAAGTCCTGAGTTTGGGGTCTCTGGCTGGATTGGCCAGTGGAGCATGTGACTCTTGATCTTGAGGTTGTGGGTTCAAGCCCCACACTGGGTGTAGAGATTACTTAAAAATAAAATCATTAGGGACACCTGGGTGGCTCAGTGGGTTAAGCATCTGACTCTTGATTTCGGCTCAGGTCATGATCTCAAGGTCCTGGGATTGAGCCCCGGGTCAGGCTCCATGCTCAGCGGGGAATCTGCTTCAGATTATCTCCTCCCTCTGTCCCCCCGACACACACACCCTGCAACCCGCTCAAGCACTTGCTCTCTACCTCTCTGTCTAAAATAAGTAAATAAAATCTTTTAAAAAAAAAAGTCCTTAGTTTGGATCTGAGCTGCCCACTGAAGTGACCACCAAGTTTCAGTTCACTTTGCGGCTACCCAGGCCCTCTATAGTGCTTTGAAAGAGGAATTTTGGAGGTTGTCCTCAGTGCATGTGGACCTCTCTCTGATCTCTCCTGGCTGGAGCGTTTCAGCTCTATTCACTCTGGTTGCTTGGGAGAGGGTGGTGACTGATGCCTCAGACCTCGGTGTATGGCTCCACCACTGGCTCCACGACTTCTGAGCTGGATGCCCTTGGGTAGCCCTCAGCTAGGGCAGATTTTGACTTAAACTTGAAACTTAAAAAGATAAAGCTGGAAAAAGGCCTTGGCTTTGGAAGAAACGTTGTGGCCATGGCCTCCAAGAATCTGAAGGGGGATTTTCTTGGGGTAGCATCTTAAATTTTCACAGTGTGTTTTGGATTCTTAAAAAGGCAGAGACAGCTAGGGAACACAACACTGTGGACTAAAGGAAGGAGAATCATTGTGCCAGTTAACATTCAGTACTTGGATTTAAGGAGAAACCTCATTACGTGTTAACACTAAAGGGACTTCAGCTCTCAGGGCTCCAGCCTCATTTTCACAGATGCAAATCCTGAGGCCCAGCTTAGTGGCTGTGCTGCATTACTCATGTGATGCAGTTCTAGTAGAAATGGCTTCATAGCCAAGTACACACAAGTTAAATCTCCAGCTCCATTGTGTATGTATTGGGTGACTTTGCAGAAGTGACTTGGCTCTGCTTTTCAGTCTCTGGTCTATAGAACAGGGATAATCCTATCACCTTGCAGGATGTGGTCAAGATTAGAAATCATGGAAGTAAGGCACCTCATACAGTGCCCAGAATATGGTTGGCATTCAAGTAACAAGTAACTAACTCTCCTTAATATCTAAACTAGGACTCTAAGTCTACCACTCCAGTGACCTGAGAACCAGTTGTGTTCTGTGACAAAACAGCTTAGGGACCCACAGCCAGTCCTCCTGTCAGCTGTTCACCTTCCTGTTCTTCAGACACCTGCGGCAGCTGACTTCAACTGTGTAGCTGGCTGTACCCTTCAAAGGCATTCCTTGACACAGATGTGTGCATTGGTGATGTCGTTCGCCAGGCAGGTGTTCTTCCCAGAAGCCTGGTGTGGCTCTCCTGCATGTCTGCACTCGTTTCTCTCCCCACTCTCCTGGGCCTGGCCAGGGCTACTCGCAACAAACAAAAGCAGGATATTGGCAGTGGAAAGGAGGACGTGTTCTGGTACTCCTGTGCCCTGCAGCACACATACCATTGAGAGGGTGTAACAGGGCCCAGGCCTGCAGTTAGGTGCAAATACATGTGCACCAGCTTTTCTCCACTGCAGATAGCAGAAGGGCAGGACCTGGTGACCGTGAGCCACAGAATGCTTGTGCTCCCATCTGGACTGCTGGTTCTTGCTACTCCCATCATTCTCAGTTTGGAAACCTCGGCAAAGGGCTTACTCTGCTGGGCCCTTGGTTAGGTGCTGAATCTACCAACAGTAAATGGGACACTGCTCTTGTCCTCAAGGAGTTCACAGTCTAGTGAAGGAGAAAGACAGGTACCTAAGAGCTTCAAGTCAGAAGCTGGGAGACAAACTTCCTGCTTCTAGTGCTGATCCTTTGCTAGGCTCCACAGTCATTCAGAACTGGATTTAATGTCCTCACTGCTACCCAGAAAGTAGGTGGTAATGTTGCCATTGCACAAATGAGAAGTGAAGCAGCCAGCCCAAGATCAGTTAGGTGGTAAGTGGTGACTGAGATTTGAACCTTGGATCATGTAGGGCAAGACCTAGATATGCACAGAATTAAGGGGATATGGGGTAAAGTCTAATTACCTCATTTTACAGATGGGGAAACTATAAGCAGAGAGAGAGAGGGCCTTGTCCAAGGGCATGTAGCTCCGAAGAACTTGAACCAGGCCTCTTTCTTCCCAATTTGGAGCTCATCTAGCATGACTTTTACATTGAAAGGAATTTGAACTGCATGCCCAGAACAGGGTCTTCCCTGCCACCTCCTATAATTCATGGTTGTAATTGAGCCATTCTAGATACTTCATATCCATACTCTTCATGCCATACCCAGCTCTCAAGTCCCTGAAGTTCAGCATCCAAAGAACAAGGAAATGCTATAGGATAGGAATGACTGATGGCAGATGCCATCAGTGTTGAACACCCAGGGGGAACTGGGTACTCCATAAAGAGATTCTCAGGGCCCTGCCTCTCTAGACCTCCCTAGCTCAGTTGCTTTCAACAGCTGCTTCAACTCCTTCCTGTCTCCCTCCTCTACCTCCTGCAGTGCCCAGAAGTAGTGACACCCATTGTGACCTCTCACCTTTAAGTTTTGTTTAGACTTTCTCTTTCCCAACTCATTAAATTTGTGTATCTTTTATATCTGCAGTACCTAGCAAGCTACTATAATAATACGCTTGCTTTGCTCTTCACAGTTTGCAAAAGGCTTTCCTCATATAGTAGCTCACTTAGTCTTCACAGTGCTCTTTGTAGTAAGATGCTATTAGTCACATTTTGTCAAGGAGGAAAAGCAACTGAGAGAAGTTGTCCAAAGCTATCCAGCTAGTGGAGGAAGCGGCAAATAATGTGAACAGCTAGCATTATCATCCTTAAGAGCAGTTAACACTGAGTTCCTACTATACTTAGCCTTTTATATAAACATCTATATAGTTTGATACATGTTATTTCATTTTCACAGTAGTCCATTTTACAGATGAGGAAACTGGGGCAAAGAAGTGAGGTAACTTCCCCAAGATGACATGAGTTGGCAGGGTCAGGATTCACACTAAGAGGCCACTCCATCCTGCCTCTCAGAAGCAAGGGTGTGGCCAGGATGGGTGGTACAAAGTGTTGACAACAAGAAGAGAGTCTTCACTGGAAAGATGACATGGGCTCCACAGGCCAGGAAGCCCTTAGCTCTGGGTGCTGGGAGGCTCAGAAATGAGGAGGAGCTTATCTTGTGTAGACTTGGCTTGAGAACACACCTAACCTGAGGGGTGGAGCTTTACAACCAGATAACTTGGAGGAGAAAGCTGTGGGTCTAACATGTATCTCCCACAGTGCTAATGGAATTTTGCCCTTCCATTATTTTATTTTGAAAATTTTCAAATATATGGATGAGTTGAAAGAATAGTTCAAAGAATACCCATGTATCTTTCACCTAGATTTGTTAACTTTAAGCCAATTTCTCTTTAAGTATTTACACACAACACACACAGTGTACTTTATTTTTGCTGAACTATGAAAAAGTAGGTTGTAGATATTTTGACTTTCACCCTTATTCTAATAAGTTTCTTCTAAAAATTCTTCTGTATAACCAAAGTATCGTTATTGCACCTAAGAAAATGGATAGTAATTTCGCAATATAATCAAGTGTATAGCCCAAATTCAAATTTCCTCAGTTGTTCCAAAAATGTCACTCATGGCTGTTTGTTTTTCAATCCAGAATTGATTGAATCCTAGGTTAAGTGTTATATTTGGTTGCTGTGTCTCTGGGCTTTTTTAATCCCTGTACTTTTTTTCCCCTCATGACATAAACTTTTGGAAGAGTCAAGACCAGTAGTCTTACAGAATGACCCACGTTCTGGATTTGCCTGATTGTTTCTTAATGCTTAACATAATTTTTTCACAAGAATGTTACATCAGCAATGGTGTTGGTGATGGTGATGGGTAGGTTTTTGAACAGAGGTGAGATTGAGCTTCTTTGGTTCATCAAGATACCTGTCTAGACCAGAGGTTCTTAACTGGGGCCATGACTAGGTTTCAGTCCTTGACAGACAGACACACACACAAACACACACACACCCCATACCTAAATAATCACATTTTCCTTGTATGTGCCTTTTTCTGAGAGGGGCTCCTGCTGCTTTTTTTTTTTTTTTTTAAGATTTTTATTTATTTGTGAGAGAGAGCACAAGCAGGGAGAGTGGCAGAGCGAGAAGTAGGGAGCCTGATGCGGGACTCGATCCCAGGACCCGGGAATCATGACCTGAGCCGAAGGCAGGTGCTTAACCGACTGAGCCACCCAGGCATCCCTGAGAGAGGCTTCTTGACCCTTACTAGATTCTCTAAGGGCTTCAAGACCCAAAAAGGTTAAGGTCTGCTAGGTGAGACAGGCAATACAGAACTGGTTTCTGGGATCTTCTTGACGCTGAATCAACTTCCTTTGGGGGGATGGCAGTAAACTCTGATGATCAAAGAGAGGTCTGTCCATTTTGTTAAACCTGGGAGCCAGAGACAACCTGTGTATCCTGGTTCCAAGGATCCAGAAGAATTTCTTGTCTCCTGTCTTTCAGGTGTTCAGAATGCCAGGATTCCCTCACCAACTGGTACTATGAGAAGGATGGGAAGCTTTACTGCCACAAGGACTACTGGGGGAAGTTTGGGGAGTTCTGCCATGGGTGCTCTCTGCTGATGACAGGGCCTGTCATGGTGAGTGAGACCCTCTTGGTCATCAGAGTCCATTGACGGCACCTCTGGTTCCCCATGGCCTTTCATCTGCCAAGGCCTCCCCTTTTATTTCTTCAGTCATTTAATAGATGTTTGTTGAGTACCAGTTAAGTGCCAGGTAAGATCCTTCCCTTAAAAACTTAACAGTCCAATGTTGGGAGTGGGTGGGTGGGTGGGTGGGCAGGGAGGAGACACAGTACAATGGGATTAAGGCCTCAGAGGAGAGCATTACAGGTTGAGGAGGATACACCCAAGTTGTGTGCAGAGAATCAGAAAAGGTGACCCTGGAATGGGCTGCTAGAGAGTGGTTCCACCTCCCTGCTCCAGAAATGGGCTTTAAGCCTAGTCACAGATTTGCCAACCCTGCATTGGAGGAACTGTGCCTTTCTAGTGGGGATGATGACTTCTGGCGACTTGCTGTCATGGCTGAGACCAAAACAGTTTTTTGTAATCTCAGAAATGACAGGGAGACACCAATCTGACTCGTCCTCTGGAAGCTCTAGGGCAGGGAGTGCAAAGGTGGATTGTGACTGGGACCTGTAGATCCTTGATTGGAGGTCACTCACGTACCCCTACCCTCCAGCAGTGACAGCTCATTTCCTCCATCTGTCATCTGTCTACCCTTCTTCCTATCTGCTCACAGGTGGCCGGGGAGTTCAAGTACCACCCAGAGTGCTTTGCCTGTATGAGCTGCAAGGTGATCATTGAAGATGGTGATGCATATGCCCTGGTGCAGCACTCCACCCTCTACTGGTAAGGTGGTGTCCATCCTCCCCCTAAGAGTGGCCAAGAGAGAAAAACAGATGGCATGGCAGTGTGAGTTGGGCAGAAACAGTACGAGGGTATCAGCGCACTGGATTCCTATCATCGCAATGCCCGTAACCACCTCAGTAATCTGTAAGCAGACAGTTAACATCTCTCTGCCCTCTGTCCTCTAGTCTACTGTGAGAATAATGACACTCTGCCCTGCAGTCCTCCCAGAGGGAGAGAAGGCTGGGAGGTACTCTCAGAGAAGGATCCCAGAAAATTAAAGGCAAAAGCCCCTTAAAGCTCACTCAGTCCAATCGCCTCAGTTGACAAAGAAGTCAGGCTGAGGCCCAAAGAGGGGAAGGGGACTTGGTTCTTACTGAGAGTCAAAAGCAGGGCGAAGAGAACCCAGGCCATTGCACCCACACTCCCAGCCTACCCCAGGGACCCTGGGCTCATTCTGAGCAGCCAACTGGAATCATGGCAAGGATGGTAATAGTGGGAATGTGAGTACTATTGCTTGAAGCCACATGGTGCAGTGGTTGCTGGGGCTTCCAGGTGGGGCTCCAGGATCTTAGCCCCCTTTATGTTCCTCTTCCCAGTGGGAAGTGCCATAATGAGGTGGTGTTGGCACCCATGTTTGAGAGGCTCTCCACGGAGTCTGTTCAGGACCAGCTGCCCTACTCCGTCACACACATCTCCATGCCAGCCACCACCGAGGGCAGACGGGGCTTCTCCGTGTCCGTGGAAAGTGCCTGCTCCAACTATGCCACAACTGTGCAAGTAAAAGAGTGAGTATTTTGAGGACCCGTAGAGCAGGAGTTGTTAACATGGAGTCCTTGGATGGGCCTCAGGGGTTGCAGAGCTCCCTTCACCCTCATCTCCTATCTTTCTCCTAGAGCTCACTGTGCTCTAACCCCACCTGGGGTTGGCACTTACTCTTCCCTTTGCCTAGCTTGCTTCCCGCCAGATAGATACTCAATGCCAGAACGGCTCACCTTTCGTGCATGAAGTTTCAGATCATGTTTGTTCTTTGAAATTATCCGGCTTGATTATGTATATTAGTTTATCATCTGTCTTCCTGACGAGTTCCTTCTGGAACTTAGTCTTGTTCAGTACTGCATGCCCAGGGCCTAGAACAGTACCTGGCATGTAGTACATGTTGACTGATTATTGTTTTGTTGGTTGAGTAAATGAATGGAGGAAGGAAGAGAAAAAAGTTAAGACTTCATCCCAGGTCCAGGCCAGAGACCAGATGGGGAAAGAGTCTGTATTTGTCTAATACCATTAATGAGGCACCTGTAGCTGCCAGCCCCGTAAATAGTGACTGTGCATGTACTGTGTGCTGAGCACTAGGTACTTGCAGTATAGGTGAGAGATGCGAGGGGTGGGGAAGTCAGCAAGAGGTGAGATCTGCACTAGAACCTCATTAGATGAAGAGGGGAGGGCACTGTGTTCAGTGCAGGGGTGGGAGTCTGTGGTTGTATCTGGTATAGATTGGGTGGTTGGGAGTAGCCAGAAAGGGGGCTATTAAGTCATGTAGGGATTATGAAGACATGAGCAGGTCTTTTGAGGGATAAGCAACAAGGTGATGCAACCAGGTTAGCGTTCTAGAAGGATTCCTGGGATGGGTGTTGGATGGGAGAGGAGCAAGCCTGGTAGTGTAGAGACCATTTAGGAGGCTATTGAAACATCAGATGAGAGGTGTTGGTAACTATGGTGATGAAGTGAAGGCAGGATTTTTGAAGACAGTGAGGGTTGGGGGGCATGAGAGAACTCCAGGTAGGGAAGATGTCATCCAAGTCTGATGTAGGCCACTGGGTGAGAGGGGGTGCCCTTCACTGAGACAGGGCACCCTGTAAAGAGCATTGCGTTTCCCCTGTGAGTGGTCTGGGTCTTGGGGGCTGGTAGGAGCCTGGTGCCTGGTGAGCCTTCCTGCACAAGTGAAATTGGTCAGGTGTATTTTTAGGATGTCTTCGTCCTGACTCAACTCTTGTCTGGCCCAGGGTCAACCGGATGCACATCAGTCCCAGCAACCGCAACGCCATCCACCCTGGGGATCGCATCCTGGAGATCAATGGGATCCCCGTCCGCACACTCCGAGTGGAAGAGGTACAGTGTGTGTCCAGTCTGTCGTGTGGGGGTGAGACATGGAACAGACCCTCTGGGACATCAGGCTGTGGCCTTTGCCTTTCTCCATCCCCAATCTATCTCTGTCTTGCCACTGAGCCTGTGACCACTGGTGACCTCCTGTATCAGCCTGGCACATTCCCAGGACAGCAGGGATGACCTGACAGATGGGATATCTGACAGGATGCCAGGGAGAGGGCACTGTGGGGCTGCTGGCAGCTGGAGGCCACCATTAGCCAAGTTGAACATTGGCCATATTGTGCTTGGATCATCTGGGCTGATGGGTGGCCTGGGTTGGGACAGCCTGTGGGAGCCAGCCTTACACTGCTCTTGGCTACAGGTAGAGGATGCAATTAACCAGACAAGCCAGACGCTTCAGCTCTTGATTGAACATGATCCTGTCTCCCAGCGCCTGGACCAGCTGCGGCTGGATGCACGACTCTCCCCCCACATGCAGAATGCCGGACACTCCCATACCCTCAGCACCCTGGACACCAAGGAGAATCTGGAAGGCACACTAAGGAGACGCTCCCTGAGGTGCTACCTCCTATCCTGATTCCATGCTGACCCATGCCTATCCCTCAGATGAGGTTGAACTGGCTTTGGGAGGCCAGCAGAGTTAGAAAGGGAACCCGCGAGCTAGGGACGGGCCATGAGGATTGTGCTGATCCAGCTCCCCACATAGGAATCACAGTTCATAGCCAGGGCCTGTGCATGATCTGACCCAGCTGTCTGCCAGGTTTCCTTAGAAACCAGAGAATCAGCCCCTGTCCACTGAACTCCTGAGCTGGACAGAAGGCAGCAATGCCGGCCCCTAAAGGACCAGCAAAGGGAGGTGCAGGGCTCAGAGGCTGGAGTAGGGGCACAGGGAGGATTAATAAGTATAAATAAAGAACACTGAAAACTATAAAGCAAGAGATGAATACAAACTGTTTTAGATTTGAGGGCCCAATGGTCAAAACCTCAGGGTTGTCCAGGTCCAACAGGAGGGAGCGGTTGCCCTGGATGCAGGTGCCAAGTGGGGAGACTGAAAGGAGTCTGAAGCAGTGGCTCTCTAGACGGACACACCTATACCATGCCTTTGAGCTGAGCTCTCTCCCTTCACAAATCACATCATCTCTCCGAGTTTTTGTTTCTGCATCTGTGAAGTGGGGTTGTAAGACAGAGGTGGCTGTCTCACCAATTATGTAAGGATTCAGCATGGAAAGGGATGCAAAGTAGCACAGTGCCAGCAAAGGGTCAGCACTAAGTGAGGTGTTGTTAATATCTCTAGGAGTCAAGTTCTCTATCTGCCCTCCTGATCAGACTAAATCACTCAGGGCCCTTGCCTGGCATCTTTTGGAAACAGGGCCCTCCCCACAGGTTGCTGGCATGAACTTCTGGCTGCCCTCTTGGCCTCGGCACAAGTGAGCTGGTAGTGGTAGGGCAGAGAAGGCCTGAGAACATGGTGGGGCGGGGTGGTGGCCAGAGAGCTGCTTAGATATCTAGAGGACCATCATGCAGGAGAGACGGCAGCTCACCTTGTGTGCTTCTGTGGGCACAGTTGGTGAGAGGCAAAGCAAAGAGCAAGGGCTAAGAAGCCTGTGGGCGGTCCTTTCTGGGTAGCCCAAGTGAAATAGGATGTGCCGGAGAGCAGTTTGCAGGGTTGCAATTCACCTGCAGTGCTGTGGACTTTAGCCTTCTTGTCCCTTCTTCAGGAAGTCAGTAACAGTTATCAACCATTACTATTACTGGCTGCTTTTAAAAATGTAAGTACACTGGCGTTATTGCTGTAAAAATCGTACATGCTTATTATTTTAAAATTCGGGAAATGTAGACAGGTAGAAAGATGAGCAAAATAGCCAGAATCCCATTTGGTCATTTTTTGGATGGTGGTAGGCTGTCACTCCAGCAGACCTGGGAGGTGGTGGGATGACCATCTTCCAATGCTGTTATATATTGAGCACTATAGGCTAGTAGTCATTCCAGGTGAGTGCTCAGGCTTCCTGCTCTGATTCTCAAATAAACTACTGATGTTTGCAGCCCCAGAATGGCACATCAGTCTCATGTAAGAGCTCCCTCCCCTCATCATAGCACCTGAACTACAGACATCGGGGTGGATAGGGTAGTAGGGTGGCCTTGAGGTTTCTACCTCCAGGGTTTTACTGGCAGGTCTCTGAGGACTACCTTAGCCCTACCCTCGTCTTTCCTCATCATCAGGCGCAGTAACAGCATCTCCAAGTCTCCTGGCCCCAGCTCCCCAAAGGAGCCCCTGCTCTTTAGTCGTGACATCAGCCGCTCAGAATCGCTCCGCTGTTCCAGTAGCAATTCACAGCAGATCTTCCGGCCATGTGACCTGATCCACGGGGAGGTCCTGGGGAAGGGCTTCTTTGGGCAGGCCATCAAGGTGAGCACAGGCAGCAGCTGCTCTGCTGCTTGCCCCCAACCCCTCTCTCACCTTTCAGGGAGTTCTCATGACATGATCTCACTCCACACCCTACAGGACACCAGGCCCCCCTTCCTGGCTGCAGGTGATGGTGTGAGGGCTACACTCCTGCCCTCCTAGGCCACCTAAGGGCAGCGTTGCTGTCGCAGTGAGCTTGGTGGACCTGGAGACCCAGGTTGGGATGAGTTGTGCCCATGGCCCTGCCACCTCCAGTCAACGGAGGTTTTTAGGTCCCCTGAGGCCTCAGTGCTGGGCATATTGCAGGGAGCATACGGGGGAGTTGCCCCTGCCTCCCTGACAAACAGTCTTGGGGACTAACCTCTCTCTCTTTCTCTCCTCCTCCTCCTCTGCTGAGAGCTGGGAGGGGGGGTCAGGTAAGCCATGTGTCTCAGCTTGCAGGGCATTGGGGCTGGAGAGCTCACCCTGACCCACCCAGCTCCCTGGTGCATGTCTGTGGCACTGACCCTCCTGTCCCCAGACTTCTGTTCACCCAAGGGACTCATTCCTGTGTCAGATGACCAGAGCCCCTGCTTGGCTTGCCATTGTCCCCTCCTGCCTCCTATACTTCCCTTTTCTGCATTCTCGCCTCCCCTCTGTGCATGCCCAGCTCTCCAAGGAAGAGGGTATGCTCCCCTCTGAGGCCCTTCTTGCCTCATGCTGTGTCTTCTACACATGAACTTTGTCAGTCTGATCTGGCTCAGTATGTCTTCCAGGGGATGGGATGGCCAGTTGCATATATTTTCACACAGTTCCCCAGAACTCTGCACCAGTAATAGTTGCCCTCCTTTGTAACTAGGTAACACACAAAGCCACTGGCAAAGTGATGGTCATGAAGGAGTTAATTCGGTGTGATGAGGAAACACAGAAGACTTTTCTGACTGAGGTAAGAAGATGGGGTGGTGGGAGTTAGGAGTTTGGTTTCACTATTGGAAGAGGGAAGGTCTTACTAAACAGTTTCAGGAGGAAACTTATTTTAGAATCGCTTTCTTAAAAGCTGAGCGGAAAAGAGCTCTAGAGGAATGCCTAATTATCTGTTCAATGAACATTTACTAAAGACAGCATGATCTGGGTACAAGGGATACAGTAACAAATCAGATGTGGTTCAGAGGAGCTTACAGCTAGTGGGGGTAATGGACATGAAAACAGACCAGTTTAGGACAACTAGTTACACTCACCACCTGAACCAACCCTGCTAAGGGAGCCTGGATTGGGGCCTCCCAGAGAACTGTCACTCTTGTGGAGCATTTACACAGTTTTTACCACACCTCCCAAGTTGTTCCATTCCTTCAGTTGGTACTCCCGTGGTCTGGGTATTGCCCTCCAGGCCTTTGTTTCACTCTCAGACCCTCCCATTCCAGTTCCCCCCAGTAAAATTCCCAGAAAGGCAGGATCCCAAGGGTGAGGCCTGTGAGGCATCCCTATCCACGTGGAGGTGTTCTACCCCATCATGTAAGACTGGAGGTAGGAGATGCAGGTAACACTTGTCAGACTGACTCCCTGGAGGAAAGGGGGTGAGGAAGACACAGTGGGAAGTAACCATCCACCCTCCTTGGCCTCTACCACCCCCAGGTGAAGGTGATGCGCAGCCTGGACCACCCCAATGTGCTCAAGTTCATTGGTGTGCTATACAAAGACAAGAAGCTGAACCTGTTGACAGAGTACATTGAGGGGGGCACGCTGAAGGACTTTCTGCGCAGTGTGGTGAGCATACCACCCTCGCTGCTTTGCCTGCAAAGGGTCATGCTGAGCAGAACTGGGCATAGGCAGGGAGGGTTCACTGGCAGACCATGTTGACCCATGGGCCTGGATCCCAAATGGGACAGGGCCCCACACCCTCTGATGGGCATTCCCCCATCCCGTAGGACCCGTTTCCCTGGCAGCAGAAGGTGAGATTTGCCAAAGGCATCGCCTCTGGAATGGTGAGTTCTGCCAGCGGTGGGAGTGGTGGCAAGGTGGGGATGGGGAGTCAGGATAGGTGCGGGGATTGCTGGCAGGTACTGGAAGGCAGGGACCCCAGCCTGGGCAGCTTGTGTGGGCTGGGTCGGTCAGTAGCTGCTTATTGAGCTTCTTCTGTACCTGTGAAGTTGCCCCCAGTTGCCTTTTCTTAGCTCACAACCTACTCTCAATGGGTTCTAAATCTTCAAGGGCAAACAGGGCGTGGGTAAGGCAAACTAGTAGTGTCCAGCTGCTGTGGGAACTTGGCGCAAGTAGAGAACTTCACTGCCTATGAAATCAGAGAAGGGAGAGATGTGTTCTAGTTAAGCCTGAAGGGTGGGTCAGAATTAGATAAAAGTTCCTCTTGGCAGGGAGACCCCAAGGTTGAGGTGATGACAGCAGCAAAGACCTGGTAGGAGAGAGGAGGAAGTAGTCTGTTTCACCTGGGAAAGAATGAGACCAATTATAGTAGTAATACCAGTGACCGTTGCTGAGTGCTTTCTATATGCCAGGCACTGAGCTGAGGGACTAACGTGTATGTATGTGTTCCTCATGACAACCCCGGTTTCCAGATGAGAAGCTGATCTAGAAAGGGACAGGGCAAGGAGTTTAGGCTAGTCAGTCTGACCTCCAAGCCTGAGATTTTAATCACTGCCTTCATGTGGGGCCCGTGAAGACTGTGTTAGTCTGGAGGTACATTAAGATCTCTGTGTTTCAGACTGAGGAGTCTGGACTTTATTTAGGAAGCCAAAAAGACAGGTGTAAAAGATACTTAAGAAAGTTTTGTGAACAGAGCTGGTTTTTTTTGAAGATGGGTCCGGTGCAGTCAGTAGGTGGCGGTAGAGTTAGGAGAACTGAAGGCAGGGAGACCAGGGGTGGGGCTAGTGAAACACTTCAGGTTTCTGAATTAAGGTATGACTGTGGGGACGGGAGACTGGGAGGCAGGGTGCAGAGAGACTGGTTGGCAGCAAGGGAGCAGAGGTAGGGGGAGAAAGAGTAGGGGTGGCTTGAGGTACCTAGAAGAACGGTGGTGTCATTTACCAGATGTTTGCAGGGGCAGCAATGTTGGGGAAACAGGTCTGGAAGAACTAGTGTTGCCTGAGGCTGATGTGTGGTTAGTGGGGGTCGGCATGTGTAGAGAAGTTGGCTTTGAGGAGGCTGGAAGGAAAATGCAGGCACACAAGAGTCTCAGGAGCAGGTAGCATGGGAGAGGAGCAGGCAGCCTTGGGAGAAAGGACAGGCAGGCAGGTCACAAGAGCTACAGCATTCAGGAAGAGCTCCCTGGGTATGTGAGCAGAGCCAGGAGCCTTGGGGATGGAAGCAGTATTAGAAAAGACTGGAAGGGGGCGCATAGGGAGCTCCTTCCACATTGGCTGGGGAAGGGAAGAGAAAGAAAAGGAAGTGGCTGCAGAGTGACAAGAGCCAGGAGCAGAGGCCTGGATGTTAGGGGGGCGGGAAGCAGAATAGCAAACAGAGACTTGCATGAAAACATTGGGGTAGGAAGAGGGAGAAGTTAAAGTGTGGACAAGGAGTGTGCTAAGTCTCAGAGAAGGAGAATGTCAGGAATATGGAACCAGCTGGCCAGGAGGAGGTCACTTCTTCCCCTATCACAGGTAGGAAGGATCCAGGGTGGCTGAAGCCAGAGATTGGGGTGAAGATGGCAGTGAAGGGGGCTAGGAGCAGTGCATCTGAGGGCGCTCACTTCAGGTGGCCTGGATCTATGTAAAATGGGTAGGGGAGCGGGGGGCATGCAAGGGCCAGGGCCCATAGAGTTGGGGACTTTAGGAGGGAGCAGTGAGTGTCTAGAGCAGCCGCTGGGTTGGGGTCACTGAACAAAGGATGGTCAGAAGGTGGTAGCAGGGAGAGAGAGGAAGCCCAAGCAGCCTTTGGCTTTCTGTTGGTGTTGGGACAAGGGAGTGACAGCAGGAGGCCCTAGCCCTAGGGTCCAGATTGGGTTCTGAAGCTGAGTAGGGATGGCCTGGGAGAAGAGCAGGCCCCCAGTTGCGGAGTCTGCATCTGCTTAAATTACTGGCCATTGGCCTCAGCTCTTACTTCTGTTCCAGGCCTATTTGCACTCCATGTGCATCATCCACCGGGATCTGAACTCACACAACTGCCTTATCAAGCTGGTATGTCCCACCACCCTGGGTCTCCCCAGGGTGAGCCGTCTTGCCTTGTCACAAAGGAAACTATTCCCTTGTGCTTTAGAACTGAGTTGTCACCTAAGGCTCCTGTCTTGCCTTTCCTGCCGTACCTGATGCCCTCCTCTGTCTTCTGGGGGCTCTCAAACACATGTAAACAAAATTACACCAACTCCCAGTAGCAGCCTTTGAAATCCTTTGGTCAGAGGGAGCTCCAGAAGTTCCTTAACTATATATAGAGCCCTGGTGTTTTTCCTGGTTTCACCCCATGGTAGTTCTGTAATGCAGCTCACTAAGACCCTATTCTACAACTGTGGCACCCAGAGCTAGTAAATGTACAGTGGCCAGTTTGGGGTCAGCATTTTTCCCACCACCCATCAGCTCTGGTTGTTAGCATGTCATTTCTCCTGCTAGCTTGCAGTCTAGCTCCCTGGGTGTCCACTAACTGGCCCTGGCTCTTCCCTCTGAGTCCATACTAAATAATCTGAACCCTTTTCCACATGACTGCCCTGTAGCTATTTGAAGAGCTTATCTCCCCCCAAGTCCCCCCACTGACTACCTCCACCTTATCTTTTTCTCTTTTATCCTGGTTCTAGCCATGCCTTAAATCTTTTGGGGAACAAGGCAGAATGGGATTTAAAAAAAGAAAGAAAGAAATCCCTTTTTCTGCCTCTAAGTTCCACTCTCTAGGTCCCAGAGCCTTACCCCTCCAGGCTCCAGGGGCTCTGCTGTGAACAACCCCAGGTCTGGGGACTCTGCTGTGCAGATACCAGACTGTTAGAAAACAAATAATCAAGGCTTGTCTGCCAGAGAGAGCTTTAGCTGTGACTCCCCTTTGCTATGTACCTTTTCTCCCCTTCTCAATGACTTCTCTTGGGAATGTCCTCACCAAGTCCTGACCTGGCCCTTGTCCTACCAGGACAAGACTGTGGTGGTGGCAGACTTTGGGCTGTCACGGCTTATAGTTGAGGAGAGGAAAAAGCCCCCAGTGGAGAAGGCTACCACCAAGAAACGCACCTTGCGTAAGAATGACCGCAAGAAGCGCTATACAGTGGTGGGAAACCCCTACTGGATGGCCCCTGAGATGCTGAACGGTGAGTCCTGACACTGGACAATGGAGGGGACATGCCCCAAGAGGGGAGTTTGGGGGCCACATCTTGGAGTAGAGTCCTGGGTGTTCAGGGGAGGCCTGTGAAGTAAGGCCAGGTACCCACAGCTGATGGCTAGATGACTTTTATCCCTTGTCACACTGGACCTCGTAAATTCCTTCCTCCCTGAGCTCCTGGGCCTAGGGTGAGATCTGACTGTGGCTTTTGTGCCCCAAGGATAGCTGAGAACTCAGGCTGTTTATTGCCAGAGATTTCGCCTTTTCTTTCTCCCTGCTGAGAACTGAAGTATGGTGCCCCCTCGTGGATAATACTCAAACCAACCATAGATACTGGCTAGGATTCGTGAAATGAACGGGGTTGTGAGGCCTCAGAAATGGCCTGATTTAACCCTTTTTTGGAGTCTGAGGCCCAGAGAAGTTCAGTGGTTTGCCCAGGAACATACAACTAGCTAATGACAGAGTCCAGGTGAACCTTGATCCAGTTCTCTTTCACTGTCCCATGCAGTTTCATTTTGAGCAGTGTGTTTTATAAGATCTCTCTGAGGCAGCCCACCCAGGGCTGAGGAAAGATGATATTCAGAGGGTGCCTGTCCTGGGCAGCCTTTATGGCATCCCTGCAGAGCCTGTTCTAGCCCTAGTTCTTGGCTGTGGCCTGGTTTGGCCCCAGACTCAGTACAGAGCAGATAAGAGACCAAACCTAACTGCCTACTCTCCTGTGTTCCCTAAGGAAAGAGCTACGATGAGACAGTGGATGTCTTCTCTTTTGGGATCGTTCTCTGCGAGGTGAGCTCCAGCCAGCACAGAGGCCAGGCCTGAGGCAGTGGGCCTAGTAGTACTGCCCTGCCCCAGAACTGGGACTGCTCCTTGTAATGATGGGCAGTTCACTATAATGGGCAGTTCACCATAAAATCAATGCGAGACACATTTGAGTCTCATGGGTCCCATGAGAAGGATTGGGCAGGGTTTTTTCAGGTGAGGAAACTGAGGCTCAGAAAGGGGCAGCGACTTGCTCTTAGTTCCACAGCCAGGAAGGAGCAGATGAGGGTGTCCTTATGGTTGTCCGTCTAGCTCTTGGTCCAGATGCAACCTTTCCCTCTGGTCCCCCATCCCCAGGCCCTAGTAGTGCCGTGGCCATCAGCCCCACAAGTGGAAGTAGCCACTGTAGCAAGTGCCAGTCTGTCTAGCACAGGGCTGAGCACAGTGGGGTGGATAGAGTGAGTCTTAGAAAGATCTCTGCTGTTAGGAGCTTAGCTCGATGTGTCTGGAAGCACTCAGTCAAACACATATGTTCAAAGTCTTCTGTAACTCCTACAAATGGTGAGTGGTAGAGGAGAGACAAGGGACAGTTGGAATAATGAAGGAGGGATTTTTTTTAAAAATTGTTTTCTTTAATAGAAGTCAGTTGAGCATTTACTGTGTGCAAAGCACTAAGCTGGCACCGAAAGATTTCAGACGTGAATCAGACCCTATGAACTCTGACAGGGGACATAGACACGAGGGGACACGGCAGGGCAGAGTGGGATGTGTGGAGCTGCCTCTCCAGATCTGGAACATCTTGCTTCTGCTGCAGTGAAGCCTCTTCTAAACCCTCCTCAGTAACCAGACTCTCAGTTGAGAGAAGAGTCTGGATTCGTGAGATTTGGGCATGGGGGACGGCTCCCTAACCTTGGTTTTTACCTCCCTCTTCTGCCCATCCTTCCTGTCCATACACCAGTATCCCACTGCCCTGTGACCGCACCCACCACAGTCCACTCCTGACCAGCCATCTTTTCATCTGCAGATCATCGGGCAGGTGTATGCAGATCCTGACTGCCTGCCCCGAACACTGGACTTTGGCCTCAACGTGAAGCTTTTCTGGGAGAAGTTTGTCCCCACAGACTGCCCCCCAGCCTTCTTCCCCCTGGCAGCCATCTGCTGCAAACTGGAGCCCGAGAGCAGGTGGGTATCCCGCCCCTTTCCCCCACCTCCCAACAGGCCTGGGATGCTTGCCCCAGCCTTCTGCCGTCCCCAAGCCCTTCCCAGGTACAGGGGCGGCAAAAGCCTTGAGCTCAAGGATGTGGCTCTCCACCACTGAAGCCACCCTACCAACTCTGATCTGCGTGGTGGGGGTGGTTGGGGGGACAAGGGCATAGCCATGAGTGACCCGGATATAACACAGACACAGCCATGAAAACAAATTGTAACAGAAGAAGATTCACCCAAACCTATGCCGTTCCAACAGGATAAGTGTTTCTCATGTTCACCTGTGTCCAAACAAATATAGTTATAATCTCAGATACAGAAAAGTTTTTTATTTTGCCCTGCATTTTTCTTGTTACTACCCAGTCTTCCTGTTTATCATTTTTGTTGACTATGTGAAATTCAATTCAAGAGACTGTCCGAACATATTATAATATACATAATGTAGGGGCGCTTGGGTGGCTCAGTCGTTAAGCGTCTGCCTTCGGCTCAGGTCATGATCCCAAGGTCCTGGGATCGAGCCCCACATCGGGCTCCCTGCTCGGCAGGAAGCCTGCTTCTCCCTCCCCCATTCCCCCTGCTTGTGTTCCCTCTCTCGTTATGTCTCTGTCTGTCAAATAAATAAATAAAATCTTTAAAAAAAATAAATAAAATTGGGCGCCTGGGTGGCTCAGTTGGTTAAGCAACTGGCCCGCGTCGGGCTCCCTGCTCTGCGAGGAGCCTGCTTCTCCCTCTGGCCCTCCCCCCTCTCATGTACTCTCTCTCTCTCATTCTCGCTCTCTCAAATAAATAAATCTTTAAAAAGAAATTAAAAAATAAATAAATAAAATTAAAAATACACATAATGTAGATACTCAAGTTTTTTCAGTTTCTCATAGGTATTACTACAGTGAGCATCTTTATGCATTTAGCTAATCATCTCCTTTAAAGAAAATTTTTAAGTGACCTTTATTCATCTCAGGTTATGGTTTTCATTATTGTCAGCGTTACCCCAGTTTTTTCCAAGTTTGTGCATTAGAGAACTAGAATCTGTGCTTGTTTTTCTGCTCTCAAAAATCCTGTTTCTTTTAAACAAATTCAAGGGGCACCCGGCTGGCTCAGTCAGTGGAACGTCCAACTCTTGATCTCAGGGTTGTGAGTTCGAGCCCCACGTTGGGCATAGAGATTATTTAAATAAGTAAATCTTAAAAAAAAAATCATATATGACTAAAATATATAGCACAGAAAGTGCATGTTTTCTATGATCATCTAACCATCGTACCCCTCAGCTCTTCTCGCTCTCCTGCTCCATCCGCTCAGGATAACTAGTTGGCACATAGCCTTTATTTCAGAATGGTTTCCAAAGGTCCACATTAGAGTTGGGAGGCTCTACATTTTGTTCCTTCATGGGCCAGAGGACTGCAGACCTTCAATAACACCAGAGTAAGAGCATGAGGAGAAAATGTGAAGCTACACAGTATTTGTTTGCTAATATCCCTTCCTAGTCATTTTAAATGTCTATGTTTAATTCACTCAAAAAATACAGACTGAGTGCCTGTCCTGTGCTCGACACTGTCCTGAATACTTGGCTGAGCAAAGCAAAGCTGCCTGCCCTCCTGGAACTCACATTCTCACAAGGAGAGATGATAAACAATAGATAGAATACCCTTCATTGAATATTAGGAAGTGACAAGTGGTATGGAAAAAAGACTTTGCAACTCTCCAGACAGAGCTGAAGAAAGAGGATGTGTAGGGTGCAAGTTGTAATTTTAAATGTGGTGAGAGTGGGCCTTGCCGAGAAGATGACAGGATGGTTAAACAAAAACATGGAGGAGATGGAGGAGTAAGCCTGAGCTAAGCTAAGACAGCTAAGCTGTTTCCACAGCACTGGGAGCCTGCTGTTTGTTTTCCCCTTGGGAAGAGCTGCTGAGCCTATGAAATGTCCCTTCCTGAGCAGATCCATTGATGTGGAAATAGTCTGAGGACTGGAAAGAATCTTTAAAAAGGCACTTAGTCCAATTCCACCTTTGATGATTGCATTTTCTCCAAGACATGAGAGGAGCCTTTTTCCCCCTGAACTTTCTTTTTTTAAGCTACCCCTTCAAGCAAGGCCAGCCTTGTCACAGTGCTCTCTCTCATCGTCACAGCAACCCTACACAGTAGCTGTAACATTATGTAACATCCCCATTTCCTGCAGAGGCACAAGGTTAAGGGGCTTGCCCAAGGTCACACAACTAGGAAGTGGTTGAGCTACAGGCCTGGGTGCCTTACACAGCACCCTGTGGCCCTGCCCTTGTCTCAGGTGCCTTCAAGTCACCCCCCCCTTTTTTTTTTTCTAGACCAGCATTCTCAAAACTGGAGGACTCCTTTGAGGCTCTCTCTCTGTACCTGGGGGAGCTGGGCATCCCACTGCCTGCAGAGCTGGAAGAGCTGGACCACAATGTGAGCATGCAGTACGGCCTGACCCGGGACTCACCCCCCTAGCCCTGGCCCAGCCCCCTGCGGGGGGGCGTTCTGCATCCACCATTGCCCCCTCTGCGCCCCATCCCTGCTGTGGGCAGGGCCGTCCGGGCTTCCTGTGGATTGGCAGCTTGTTTAGAAACAGAACAAGCCATCCCTACTACCTCCCCAGGAGGCGAGCGGGCGCAGCACCAGGGAAACACATCAAGGTTTGGGGGTCTGGTTACTGTCTGTAGATCCAACACTCGCCTGAAAGCTGTGAAGAAAAAAAAAGAAAAAGAAAAAAAAAAAAAAAAAGCCTGGCCCATGGGCCGGGAGGAATCTGTTACTCGTGACCACTTGGGACCTCCCTGGCATTGGGATTCCAGGAGGCTCTTGCTTACACTAATGAGCATGACCTGGACCTGCTGGGCAGGATTCCAGGGTGAACCTGCCTGTGGGCTCTGAAGTCTGTAGTCCAGCTGGGTACATGAGGACTTCCAAGTGAGAGTGGACGAAAGACTGGTGGCCAGGCGGCTATCCAAGGATGTGAAGTGACAGTGGTGCTACCCGCCCCTCCACTCTGTGTCCCACCCTCCTCTGGGGCAGGGATTTAGGGAGCAAGTTTTGAAGAGTCCTTTAGTTTGTGGTGGAATTGGCCAGGAGTCAGGGGATGGGCTTGTTTGCTCATCTACCAGGGCTAGGGGCCACATCAGTGTGAGGGGGAGCTTCCACCTCATGTTCTCAAACTGTACTGCTAGAGGCTTGCTGAGAGCTCCTGGGCCTCTCTACCTGCAACAAACACTCACCCACAAATGCAGCAAGAGGCTGGGGCCTGGAAAGAAAGGGGCCCTGCCCTCTAGAAAGCCCATATCCTGGCTGCTGTCGTGCATACCCTGGTGGGCAGCTCAGTCAGAAGCACAAGACATGTATCTTAGTGCTAGATAGGTTCTGGAGGATTGTGTGGCTTGCCGTAGGCCCAGTGTATGAGCCAAGAGAGTGGGAATCTCAGCAGTCTCTTGGCCCTTCCCTTGTGGCAGCCATTGCTCACCCTTCACCATGCCTGGTCCAGGTAGCAACTTGGGCAGGACGAGGTGGTGGCAGAGTCCCAGAGCTGGGATGCTGGGGGAGACTGCTCCCTGAGCTGGGCTTTCTGGCTTCTACCTCCCTTGTTGGTTGGCCCAGCTCAGTAGCTCCTTGTAGCTCCTGGCTGCAGCTTCCTCACACAACTATGGGCACTGAAAAGCGCTGGAGGCACCCTCTACATTGGCTCCCAGAACTCCAGGGACCCTTCAACACAACAAAATTTGCCTCCTCCTATGTGTCTGTGAGCTTGCACCGTATTTAACAAATTGGGAATGGGTTTGGGATATTACTGCAGTGCGTGGTGGTTGTGTTTTTTGGGGGGGGTGGGGGGAGGTAGTAGTGGGGGAGTGATCCAGGAGAGTGGTTGATGTTAATACTGTTTTGTTGCTGTATCTGTTGGGTGATATGTGAAATACTGTACATAGGCCTGATAAGTTGGGGGATTAGATGTCCTCTCTGGACAGAGTTTACCTGCTATATAGACCATACTTACATGTGGAGTGTGCAAGCTTGCTGTAGGGTTGAGCCCTGGCTCCGAGCAACCCTAAGTCAGAATTTTGTGGCTGGTTGTGCCTCAGCTGTCCCCAGCAAGCATGGGAGTGGTGGGCCCATGGTGGGCCATTGAGCAGACCAAATAAATTAAGCAGTTAACATAAGTGATGTTACTGAGAATGAAAAATTGATTTGGGGCCTGACTCAGCAGGAGGAGGATACATGGGGGTTCTGCTGGCCACTTTCAGGCCCCTGCTCCATGACTCCCCACGGTAGGGGACTACTCATGCCCCGCCCCACCCCCAACTCTAATTCCCTCTTACATAGACACCAGTCTGCTCCAGGGAACAAGCGCTTCCGACCTGAGGCAACCCAATCCTTGAAGCAGGTCTAACTGACCTGCGGGCCCAGTCCTTCCTTTGGGGCCATACACTTCCACCCTCTGATGCACGTACATTCCTGAAAGCCTGGATATCCTCCCTGCATAGCCAGGTGCCACCTTCATAAAGGGAAGAAATGAATGCAAGTCACCTCCACCCCTTGGGTTTTCCTTTAGGCGCTTGAGAGAAGACCTGGCCTTGCTTCTACACCTGGGAGATGTGGGGCAATGGACAGGATGGTATCTGGCTAGTGGGATCCTGGGCACAGTATAAATCCATATACCCGAAGGTGATTTCTCCCAAAGCTTGGGGAGTTCAATTAAGGACAGAATCTGGTTCTTGGCAAAACTGATAAGCCAGGGTACCCCTTGTTTGTAGAACTATAGAGCAATGTCTAGGCATGGGCAAAGATCATCCTGGGTGTTCCTAGAGGCAGAGAATGTGTTCCTAGAGGCAGAGAATGTTTTTCATGCTGAAAAAGTCCAACAACTTCCCATTGGTAGCTCCTAGAGCCCTAGGAGTCACCCCCACAGGGGCCTTCCTCTACCTAAAACTGCTCCCTGCAGCCCAAGGACCCATCCCCCTCTGCACACCCATCCTTCCCTTTGGCTGCTGCAGCAGCACCACCACCCATCCCTTCTGTCTCCAGCACCTGCGAAGGGCTGCCTGGATGTTCATTTTAACTACCTCCACCTCGGGAAGAATGCTGATGGGGAAGAAGATTTGCAGTGACCAAACTGCCTGTGGGGAGGCCAGCATACCCATCTTTCCTACAGCGTCAACCTGAATGATTGCTAGTGATGACAGAAGGCAGGGGCAGCAGCTACCCACCACTCAGTTGTTGCCGCCTCCCAGTTACAGGGCCAGGGTTAATGACAGAACGCCAGTGCTTGCCACAGAAGTGTGGACGAGGTAACCAAAAACCAACCAACTTAGGGGAGGAGTGTCCTGGCACCCCATAAAAGCTTGGCAGTACAGAGTTTTGGGTTTTTTGTTTTTTAATTTATACAAGTCAAATGCAGAGCAATTTCCTGCACTTTATATGCAGGTATCAGAATGAGGTATATAAAAGATGTACACAGAAATGCTTTTATAGAAAAGTAGAAACCAGTAATGTACTGTTCTTTTCTTCAGTATCACTAACACCAGGGGACCCATGAGGCCTAGGTCCCCTCAGCAAACCACTCCCAGGAATAGTCTGCTGAAGCGAATGGGCCCTACTGACCCCCCTCTCTCCCACGTGGGGCAGTGGAAGGGCTTTGGGAAGGAAGCTCTGGATAGGGAGCACTGCTAAGGCCTCCAAGTGTGGCATCAGGGCTTGGAGGCCCTGCTGAGCCATTTGCTCAGTGCAGCACAGTGCTGTGGAGAAATGTTACTCTCCTCTTGGCCATGCCAGTAGCTTACTCTCTGACCTTGGGCATCACTTTCCCCCTGTGGGCCCCTGTGTCCAAAAGGCTTGAGGAACCCTAAGGTCCCTTCCAATGGTTGATTGTTTTACAAGTTAGGGGTGCACTGGCCTGGAGGCCACAGCCACCTGCAAACTCAAGCCCTGAAGCACTTTATTACCTTGCCTCTGAGCTTAGTTTCTGAGTTAACCTCTCAGATGCAGCTCACAAGGCCCCACAGTGTAATTCCCGTAGGTTAGTTGGCTCTTGTCTTACCCCTGAAAAACGAAAAGAGGTCATTGTCCACCCTGAACAGAGACTGTCTAGGGTACCCCAGGGCCCCCTCAGGTCCTGTGGCCTAAAGCAGCCGCGGATCCTTCTCTACCCTCTTCCCAAGTGGAATGTTCAGTGCGATTCTTCCTTTCCTTTTGAAATAGGAAGAGTCCCTGGGCCCCAGGCTGGCCCATGGTTATCAAGGCACATCACCACCAGCAAGCTGGAGCACCCCCAGGAGCCCCTAGCCTAGATGCCATTCTCAACCCACAGTTTTGACTTTTGTATGAACTCATTTCTGGTTCTCAGAGGTCAGTAGGGAGTTCCATCCCAACTATTTTAAAAACTATTTTTTAAATACTGCCTCTTGACCACTTGACCTGAACTATGGATAACAGTATGCGCCACTCAAGCCCACAGAGAACAAACAGAAGGGCGGAGACCGAGGCCATCTTAGATAATAAAGCACAGAGGAGCCTGGGGGAGCTCCTTGTCTGTCCCCGGTTCAGTTCCAGGGCACAGGCAACGTTTGGAAGCCCTTGTCAGCAGCACTGCTGTGAGGGCTGCCGCTGTCTCCATCCTCAGGCAAAATCCTGCTCCAGGGGATGGACGAGGAGCATTGGTAGGACCCTACCTAGCCTCGCCCTCAGCACAACACCTGCTTCTGTTTTAGAATTCACCAAAAAAAAAAAAAAAAAAAAAGTTGAGGGAGGGTTTTAACCACAACAAAAAGTGTAGATCCTCCCAACTGTAGGAGGGTAGGCTGTCCTGCACCAGTATCTGCATGGGCTCCTGCCCATTATTGGTGGCTCATGCCCCAGGAGTGCCCGCCTGACCCATGAGGGGGGCGCTGCCCTCCTGAAGGTCCACTGGAGTCTGGTTGGTGTGGACCACAATAGTCTTCTCATCCACGATCTCACAGGTAGGATTGGTGAAAGCAGACAAGGGCAGGGTAATTCGCTGCATCTCCCTCTCACACACTTGCTGGTCATGCTGCTCTTTCAGGTCCTTCCCCCTGGCAGGAAAAGAAGGAAGCATTCAGGCTGTGCCTCCTGCATGGCTTTGCTCATTAAAGAGCATTGCTGCACCCAGGCAGGGGCAAGGGCTAAGCATGGTCAGAGCTAATCAGTGGCTGATGTATGAGATTTCCATTCTGCCAGACTGCCTTAACAAGAAGCTCCTACACCTCTGGTCTCTGCTTCCTCATCTGTAGAACTTGTGTATAGTAGCATTAACCTCACCACAGCTGCAGACAGGCTCAGTGAAGATAGTGTGACTGAAAGCAAGATACGGTTTTGTTCTTTCAGCCAAGGGCTCCAAGAAACCCAGAGAACCATCTCAGTCCTAACCCATAAAGTTGTGCAGAAAACTTACCTATTCTAAGACAGCTCTCTTATTCTAAAGTCCTTGGAAGGTGTGAACGCTGGCTGGAAACAAGGACTGTCCCCAGCCCATGCAGGGAGCAAAAGGGACTGAGGGCTGCTCTGGTCAGTGGGCAACAGTGAGACAATGACCATCAGATCCCTCCATGTTCAAACATCCTTTGAATTTTCATGGTGCTCGGTGACCCAATCAGGCCCTGGTGTTGCCCCATTTTACTCAAATGGAGTGCTCACTCCATGCTAAGAACTTTGTGTACATTATCTCACTTCATTCTTGGCTGAACCCTAGGAATTA